GTTAGGCTTATCCAGGCAAACATGAAGGCAACTCAGGATCGATAAAAGTCATATGCAGACCAGAATAGGAGAATAGTGGAATTTGAAGTTGGGGAAAAGGCTTTACTTAAGGTTTCACCTACCAAGGGAGTCATGCGGTTTGGTAGAAAAGGGAAGTTGAGTCCTAGATACATTGGCCCGTATGAAGTATTGAAGAGAGTTGGAGAGGTAGCATATCAACTAGCCTTACTCATGGAGTTAGCCAATGTTCACAATGTTTTTCATGTTTCCCAACTCCGAAAGTATGTTCATGACCCTACCCATGTTATCCAACCCGAGACTATTGAGATAGATGAGACCTTAACTTTCGAAGAACGCCTTGTGAAAATTCTCGACACCAAAACGAGAAGTACCCAAAATAAGGCGGTAAAGTTAGATAAAGTCCTATGGTCTAATCAGAATTCTGAAGAAGCAACTTGGGAAGCTGAGCATGATATGAAAAAACGTTACCCGAAACTTTTCGACCAGGTATGCCAAGTTTCGAGGTCGAAACTTTTAAAGGGGGTAGAATGTAATACTAACTTATCTTTTATCTTCATGTGAGACTTTTTGAGAGCTAATTTTAAAGTTCGAGGACGAACTTTCGTTTTAAGGGGGAAGTAGATGTAATACCCCAAATTTTGGAGTATTAATTTTGGAGTATTTTTTTTAGTCAACGATTTCTTTTCAAAAATAAATAAACTTTAAAACTAATTATTATTTTCAAATTGTAAAATTATTATTATTATTATTATTTTCGGATTTGATAAAAAAAAAAAAAAAAAAAAAAAATTGACTTTTGATAATTTACAAAAACTGATTTTGCATACCGGAAAAAAAAATTGGCAAAGGTGGATAAAGGCTGATAACAAAATCAGTTAAAATTTTGATCCTATCCCATGAACTTTCTAGACTCTCAAGATTGATTTATAAATATATGTTTCATCTTTCTAATACTATCATTACGATTTCAAAAAAAAAAAAGTTTCGAAGCCGAAATACCGACTTTGGAAAGCAACTCGTCACTTTCCTCATTGTTGGGTTTGATAATTGATCATTACTATCTACTTTATTTAATTACTTACTGATCTTCTCCTTGGTCCATTTAATTAGACTTTGTGGTGGATGTTCTGGCTCTTGGGTTCGAAAGTTTGGTAGGTGATTATGATGATGATGATGATGATATAATATCTCACGTTTGACTCATCAATTAGTTCATCTAGTTGTCTATTTTTGGGGTGATTAGACTATGGGTGGTGACAAATCAATTTTACGCTCAATTCTTTTTTTTCCGTTAGTCGTACAATTATCTAATTTAGGCTATTTATTTGTCTATTTGTAGACGGAGGCTACTAGGTGATCATTCCGGAGTTAATTACCTTGAATTTTTACGCACAATCAAGGTAATTTTCAATGTCCATCATCTTTAGAATCCCGTTAGGAAATTATTTTGAAATATTATGTGTCAAATACGTGCTTATGTAATTATATGTGATGAGTGTGTTATCGTATGTTATTATGGAATCATATATTATATATGAGTTTTCTATTTTGTGTACTAGTATATGTAATTTCAAAAAAAAAATATGATTATTTGTTATCGTATGAGTTTTTTTTTTAAATATAATCTTGGGTATTGGATGATTGATTATATGTGATTGATGGTCTATATGTCATGTAGGATGACTATGGTCTAATAATACTGAAATTGATGTGTTGTTACTTGAAATTAAATTAATTTGTGCAATACTTGTGTACAGTGTAATTGGATGATATAATCTAATAAAATGTACAGCGAATTTTAATTTAAGAAGGGAAATGAAACCCAAAAGGGTGAAGAACTGGTTGCCCACTAGTAGTGATGGTTGCTACTAGTTGGTTTAATTTATTGTATATTGTTGTTAGTCTTCCTCCTAATCTCTGGGTATTAGCGAGGGGTGTGCACACTAGGGACATTCTGTTTTATTTTATGGCCAATTGGGGTGACGCGCGACCCTCTGTAAAGTAGGTGGTGACAGGTACTAGTCCCGGCTTACTGGCGTTCTCTTTCCCTTTCTTAAATAAAGTAATAATATGTTATGTGACTATTTGAACTTGGTTGAGTATTAAAATATTTATGAGACTATATTATGTATAAATTGTTTTAAACTAAAATTTATTTATTTTACGGGATGGAGTTGGAATTAATCAGTTTATCTGATTTTTGGGAGTCTTCTCTCTTTTCTCGTTTCTGATTTATTTTGCAGGTTGGTAGAAAGGGTACTCGGTTACGTGTGAGGAGACGTTAGAATAATCACGTAGCTAAGACAATTTAGTTTATCCCCGAGTTTAATTATTTCCTCTCAGTTATTGGTTTCAAATAATTGCAGTTTTGATGTAATGACTATTTTATTTTGCCACAACTTAGACCACTTAGTTATTTTAAATATTATGTTATTTTTGCTTTGCATTTATTTTCTACGGAAAATAAGTGTAGCAGTAACACTTCCAGAGTTCGATGGTTGGGTTTTTGAAAGTTAAAGGTTACACTTATTGTTTTTAAAGACTCGAATTTTGGGGGTGTTACAAGCAATATGAAAAAACAAAAAAAGAGTTTACCTTTTCTTCAGGTCACCGGTAATTTGGACCTAATAAAAGAAAACACCCCCTAAAGTTAGGATTATTTAGGAATAATCGATAGTTGGGATTAATGAAAGTAAATGGCTCAAAGTTAGGATTAATAATTACAAATTTTTCAAAAAATAATTGTTTAAGTGTAATGAACGTGATCAAAGAACATAAGAGATGTACATAAAAAGAACATAGAGCTCTTAATAGCAATTAACATAACACTATATTTTTATAAAGAACGTACTGTTAAATAATGTTTTTTATCTTCATGTTCTTTTATTGTCAATATAATGTACTTTTAATTGTGACATAATGTTAATTGTTTAAATAATATTATCTTGTTCTTTATTAATATTCTTTATTTTTTTTTGGCAAATGAAATATTCTTTATAAAATAACTATATATTCTTTACAAAACAACTATATGTTTTTCATATATACAAAAACAACATAAAGATGAATGTTCTATATAAAACAACTATATATTCTTTACAAAACAAGTATATGTTCATTCCGCTTTTTTTTTAAAAAAATGATTAAATATCCGAATGTACCATGCTCACAAAGAAAATCTAACATATAATTTAAGAGTCATTTCGATGAGGTTGCAACAAATCCCCAATCCAGCTTTCTTATTCAATCCCGCCTAAATCTAAATCCCTCCAACAAAAAAACTAATTTAAATTTTAAAAAAATAAAAAAAAATGTACACCTAAAAATCTAAAATCCCTCCAACAGTTATCAGATTTTAATTTCAAAAGAGAAAAAAAAAAAAAAAAAAAACTGATAGATAAAAAAAACAAAATCTGACAATTAGTTTTACAAATTTGATAACTGCACACCTCCACTCTTCATCTTCCCACTTATCTTGCCTAACCTCCCCTAAATTCAACAATTACAATTTACAATCCCCTCATTAATCACAACGCCTCTTTCTATATAGTGAATTAGTATGAACCGTCAAGTTGCTGAAATTTAATATTTTATTAGGTTAGGCCTTCTCACTTTGCAAAGTATAATCCTCGGTACACTCTGCAAACTATTATAATCATAGATTTTATTATAATTCAGAATATATCTTTTTATAATGTTATATTATTATTATATATATAATTTAAATTTTTGGATTTTCTTTTAATTTCTTCCGTTTCTGCTTAAAGGCTGATGTTGTTTCCTGTTGGTGTGAGATAACATATGATCGTTCTGTTCCTACATTATATTCATGAATCAATTTTGTGTAATTTTATGGTGTTTTATTCAATTTTTTTTTTTTTTTTTTTTTTTTTTTTTTTTTTATCTTATGATATACTTTTGATATATGTTGTAGTGTATGTGTGTTGATCCAGTATTTGTCTGAAAATGACCTCATGAAATTGAAATTCTATTTTGTGAGTAGTTTCACATTTTTTTTTTCTCTTTAACGGCCAATAATAATAGTTTTTGTTTGTTTTGTTGAATTGATGCTTATTATCTTTGAAATTAACAATATTACTTACTGATGTTTATTTGGGTTTCAAGTTTTAACAACTATATTACGTTGTTTCTTTCACAAGATTTATGTTTGTGGATGATGCATATGCTTCATTGAACACCTAATTTGAGTGACAACTATTTTGCATTTATGTCTTATACCATACCATGTAATGTTTCGATTTTCCCATGTATCCTTTTTACTATTTTGCATTTAAGTTTTGAGAGTATGGAATCAAGGATAATGATGATAGATATACAATTTTTTTGATTTTATACCTATATAGTTTTTGGTAACACGTACTTATATTAATTGTGTGATCTTTTTATTTATTTGGTAAATATTTATCATTTTACAGTACAATACAATTTAATTTTTATAACAGTATAAAGACCTTTTGTATTTAAACTTTAGCTTTTCATCTATTCTATATATTTAAGTGTAAGTCTATTATTAATTATCTAAAAGTAAATATATCAATGACTTAATACTTTATATCTAAAAAATTGTCTCAAATCTAATTAATGGTTGTATACATATTTAATTATCTATAGCTTCATGATCAAACACAATACCGCATCTCACACCCTCAGTATATCAATTCAATTGTTGCACATGATTTTTTACCGATAAAAATAAATAAATAAATTAAAAAAAATGTAACTTTAAAGTATTCGCTTCAATTCACCCTGTCAAAAAAAAGATAAACCTTATTTCTTCAAGTATGTGTACATTTTTTTTCTTAACTTATAAAGAACTTATTTCCACCTCTAACAATTTAACACAAAAGAAAGCTTTTTAGAACTTTAGCTTCTAAGTATTTTTTTTTTCTTTTATTTTTACATTTTTATATTTATTTATTTATTTATTTATTTTTATGTTAAACTACATACTACATATATCTCGTGTATGAGCATGGGTACACTCTAGTTTTAGTAAAAGAGAGAGAAGATGGGAAAGGATATTTGTATTCTTATTAGAATTGATGCTCTAAGAAAGGGAAAAAAAACATATTTTCATTTTTAAGTACTATATATTCGTATATATGGCTTGACTATACAAGTTTGTAGCTAAGAATTTACGAACCCCGTCCGAGTGTCCGACCCGATTTTAATCCGTTGTCATTCCGAATCATCGACTCCATCCAAATTCCAAATTCCAAATTCGTCCCCTTGGAAAGAATAGCTCCCCAATTAAGATAATGGCGGGAAAATTACTTTGCCCTACGCAATATCACTTGTCCTCTCCCAGTTATCCCTCCCTCTAAAATTCTCTCACTTCCTCTTCTTCGTTTTTCTTCTCTCTCTCTATCTCTTTCTCTCTCTTCTTCGTCTTCAGATTAAAAGATGTCGGAAATCCAAACCCTAGACATCATCGAAGAATTATCATCCCTTGTTTCTGATCGTCTTCAAGTGGTAATTTCTCTTTCTATTTGCATTTATTGCCTTTAATTTTACCTATTTTTCGATGAATTGATTATATATGACAAGTTTTTATTTGTTTCTGTCCTTGAAATTGATGACTTTTTTCCAATTTATGTCGGACTAATTTGTGCAAGTCTTGTTGAATGTCATGATTTTTTAAGGGTTTTTAGTTTTCTTGTTTTTGGTATTGATTTGGTGTTTTGTCGAATCAGATTTGAGATTTTCTTTATAAGGAATTGGTAGCAGTTAAGATGAGTTGGTTTTTGAGATTGTCGAAAGCCGAAAGATGAAGGTTTTCTTAGTTTTTTCTTCTGTGCTAGAGCTAGTAAAAGTTGAATTGTGATTATAAAGTTAAACTTTAATTCGATTCTATTCAGTGGGTTTGCTTTTGCTAATCAGTCTAACTGGGACTGTCATCTAATTGCTAATTTCCATCAGGAGAATGTCAGGTTTGATAACCATTCCCCAAAGGAAGGGAAAGAGTGGTGTATTGGTTTGGTGTTTTTGATGCATTAGATTTGAGATTTTCTTCATAAGGAATTGGTAGTAATTATGATGAATTACCGTTTGGGTTTTAGAATGTTGAAAGTCGAAAGATTAAGTTGATTTGTGATTTTAAGGTTAAACTCTAATTCAGTTCAATTTAGTGGGTTCTGCTTTTGCTAATCAGTCAAACTGTGACTGTCATCTTACTCATTTAATTGTTAGTTACCATTTGGAGAACGTCAGGTTTGATAACCATTCCCCAAAGGAAGGGAAAGAGTGGTGTAAATTACGAAGAGGGTGTCGTAAATTTCTTTTCGGTTTTATGCATTTGAATCTTTTCTTGGGATTTTATTTGGAATAAGAAATGAAGAATGAATCTAGTATAATCTAGTCTCCTAACTAAGATTTAAGCCTACAAGGGCTACAAGTACAACCATTCAATTAACAGTAGTGTGCCTTGTAACATTTAGCTACTGAGGATTACTAAGTGACTCGAATATTTGATCTCACACCGCTCACTTATTATTATAATTTTAACTAGAGCAACATGAAGCTGCACTATGATTTTTATAAATATGACAAAAACGAGTTTTCCTTTTTGTGAAGAGAAGATCTAGAAATACGTAATGACCCTGTTGTCTTGTTTGGTAGCTGGTACTAATATGGTAATGGGATATAATTTGGGAATGAAAGTAACATTATAATATCCATGGTAATGCCATCTTATCCCCAAACATGTCTTTCTTCCCTAAATTTTTATTCCCACCCAATACCATTACCCTAATGTGGATGCTAATAAAGATTCATTAAGAAATTGAGATATTTGATGCATTACTATGTGCTTTGTTGTATGCATTTATTACTGCCAAACAAGTAGTATGTGCATTTGATAAGTTATTCTATGTGTAAACCATTAAACCCTGGACGCTTATTCTTCTTAAGGATCTGAACCCTTGGAAGTTGGCAGCAAAAAGTTTAAAATTTATGTTGAGACATTGATTACATACACTGTTTTTTAGTCTAGGTTTTCTGTAGCATTTCTTGTACTTATTATAAAAAAAACAAATAATCTCCTATATTAAAATATGCTGCAGCATTTGGATTGAGTTTTGTCAGTACTTGTGGTCATTGTGGACTTGTGTTTTATATTTTGCATTAGCATTATGTTTGAGAGAATTTTGCTAATGTATCGTACCACCTCTTGCACTGGTTGATGAAACATAGCGTTATTGAACTTGTATTACATGGATACTTTCACCTTTAGCTTGGAACTGTTTAAAATGTTCCATGATGGGTTAGGATTATGAAGGAAAGTAAGGTTAAATGTTTTAAAGCTTCAAAATGTGAATAGGAAATATATTAATTGATAACTACAATTATGAATACACAAAGGTTTGACCGTTTGAATGTGTTTCAAATAACATGCAAAAGAAAAGTTAGGGATAGAGGATGTAGTGTCTTAATATTCTGAGATAATTTTGGTTATGGGAAAACATAATTAATAATTAAGTTACAAGATTATACTCGTCACATAATATTTGATGTTTTAAACTCTTTACTATATTATGTATTTGTTAATTTAAAAACAAGAAATTAGTAGAAAAGAGAATTATTGCTCTCACTCTCTTACTTGAATAACATGGCATCTATATTTGGTATGTCCAGTGATAAAATTACTACTCTGTAGTCTATACATGTGCTTTTACTGTCCCTAGAAAACTTGTTGTGGCACTGAAGTAATATTGGAATATTAAGACAATATGTATGAAGTAATATTGGGATGAGCAAGCTTGCCAATCATCTTAGAAGGAGAGAGTGGAAATTATTCAGTACCTGAAGTGAACATGACAGTACAAATGCCATTAGCTTAAAACAAGCTATTAACCGACAAAAGACACAAAGGAGTGAGGACACAAAAGCCTTATCTAAAGAGATCAATTTCTTTGCTCCCCACCTTCTAGGAAGGGTTGAGAATATAGGCTCTTCATGTGTTATGGCTACATAGCCAGCATATCTATTGTAACAGCTTTACATCTACTAACTACATGAAAAATAATCTTTCTGTAAACAATAGTATTTGGTATACGGCCCTCACCAAAAATGCCAGCATTTTTGTTAAGCTGAATGCGGCACACTGTTACAAAATAGTATGAAGCTTGCTTCTGTTCTCAGATTTTCTGCATAACTTGATGGCAAAGCTCTTCTTAGCATCAGAACTAACCACCGACCTCCCAATATTATGCAAATTTAGTACCTGTTGCCATAAAAATCTGGAATAAGTGCAAGCAAAGAGCAAGTGGGCTGTCTATTCTATTGACTGCTAATGAGGAAATGGTGAGAGGGTGCATAGTAGAAATCAGGAGACAATTGGAGTAGGCAGTAGACCTTTAAAGAATTACATGAAGCTTGGGTGTCCGGTCAAGTGAAGAAATATGCTAGTATATGTCCATTACACCATTATGTCTTTTTTGTATCTTACTAACATTACTCATTGAATTCTTCAAAATGCTGTAACAACTCTGCAGCTTTCAAAGCTGCTATCGTGCTAAGGAAGAAATTAATATTTAGAAACTAAGAGCTTGTGAGAATTTTTATTCCCTGTTGAGGGGAACTGGATTGGCATGATCAGTCTTGTAGAAAAGCTGATAGTGATGAGTAGTCGTCTTAATAGGCACATCAATATCAGCGTCATCAATGCTTAATGCCTTTAAAGTAGTTTATTCTAATAGGCATATCAATATCAGCATCATCAATGCTTAATGCCTTTAAGTGTTTTATTCTTATATAGACTATAGCTATTAGTGTTCCTTGTTCTGATGTCATTGAGGTAGCTGTTCATTGTGGATTTCTTGTGTTTGACTAGATTAAGAATAAAATTATTAATGTAGTAACATGTCGCTGATGGTAGCATACATAATTATTCTTTGTAAAACGTTGTGAGTTAAAAATTTTGTGTGACTGACCATTATTTCTTATTTCAGGTTTCTTATAAGTGGCTTAGCCGTAACTTTTTGGTGTCATCAAATGTTGCGAAAAAGTAAGTCTTCCTCATTGAAGAAATTGGGTTTGCATTCCTTTCTACTGCCATGCTGATGTTTACACTCTGAGTTTGTCTAGGTTGCTTCAGGAATTTGTGGAGAAAACCAAAGATGATTTAGAAGTCGTGTACACTGTAGCAGGATGGTTGAAGAAAGCTCCACCAACTTACCACATAAGACTTGTTCCACAGCCAAAACTTGAAGGTTGAAGCTTACAAATTAGATGTTTATAGCCATTTCAGCATTTATGTATCCATCTATTTATTTATTTATGTTTAATAAATTAAAAAATTAATTAATTTCTAATTCTGGATAATTGGAGTGAAAAGCCACCAAGATTTTAGCTGTAGTATGTCTGAAATGATCCTGATAGTGATGGTAGTCTTGATTTCTACATAGCTTTAATTAATTTGTTTTAAGAGACATGTGGTATTTGATCTAAATGGTCAACAATGTCGTCTTACTAGTTGTAAACTGAACAGAAATCACCCGACAGTCCTGGATAATTGGAATATGTCTGATGATCTTGATAGTGATGAGTAGTCGTCTTTAGTCTCTTTATGATTGTTTTTTTTTAACTAGTCATCTTTAGTGAGGTGGTATCCTTAAGAACTGTAATTAAAGAGCTATATATTGATTTACAATTAAAAATTAGCTGGCAGTTCAATAACAGTTGTCTATGTCAACAGAATGATTAAACTATTCAAGAATCTTAAATGAATTGTGCAGAAGCTAAGCATGATTTTGATGGTAATTGCTCCGTCCAAGTCTATAGTGTACAATCTTGTATCCCAAAAGATCCAGCTGCTATTTGGAATGCTGAGTATATTCAAGCTGAAGAGCTTTTCAAGCAACCTGTCACAATAAATAATTGTCTCAGAGATAATAGGTCATTTTCTTACCTAGCTATTTCCAACTTTATTTAACAGATATTTTTGTATTTGATGATGGATGTGCTAATTCTTTGTTCCTTTCAATCTATATTGAAATGTGGTATCTTTTGGGTGACTGCCTAGACATGCATAGTCATGAGCTAATTGTTTAGAATATATTGTGATGGGAAGGTTGCTTTATTCACCCTCTGTATACTATGGATCTCAGTAGTGGCTGGATAACTTTGCTTTTTGGAAGGACAACTGAGCCTGTTGCTATTTTTATGTTTCAAGATTCTGTTAATAGTTTTAAAGTTTAACCAAAACAAATATTACTCCCTCCCATGTGTCCAGGACTCCAGGCGAAACTTAAAGAAAGCAGAAAAGCCACTGCTTTGATGAGCTTGAATTTTGTAAATAACTTCCTGTGAATGCTCTGCTTGTAAATATATCCTTTTACTAAGGAAGCTTTATATAAAGAGAACAATGAACTGAAAAACCTAATTACAGTTGGCCAACTTCTGTAGTTCTGTAGCTTGTCAAAGGGCACACCGATCTTACAAACATTTTCTAGTTGTATGTTTTTTTTTTTTTTTTTTTTTATTATTTTTTTTTTTTTTCAAGTAGTAGTCTTTGGGATTAGTCCTCAGGGAGAATTTTTTTTTGCAACTTCTGGATAGCTGAAATTCTTAATTATGTGTGATTCAGGTTCTGTGGGGTCTCAAATTCCTTGGTTAAGCGTGATGCTGAGGGAGCACCTGCAGCAATAACAGTGCCCCAAACTAAAGGTGTAGGGATTCCTGGCCAGGTTGTTGGCAGTTCTGTTAATAAAATTGGTTCTTCTTTGCAACCTCAGCCAAAAAAGTTGGAGCAAGCTAGCCCAAAAATAGCTCTACAGGCTTCCAACGTGACTACTCCCAAAATAGAATCCGATAGATCTGGTACTTGTGATATCCAAACCAAGGAGTCAGATAAGGATAAAATCTCTCTTCCAGTCAAGAAGAAAGGTCAGACTGACAAGAGTTCAGCAGGAACTAAAAGCTCTTTAGCAAACTTATGGGGTCGTGCGTCATCAAAATCCAAATCCACTAACTATTCCGTAGAAGAAAAATGTCATGCTTCCAAGGCAAATGGTGAGTGTCAAAATCTATTTATATGGAGTATTTCTTTGCTCTTATTTATATGTCTTATTGTCTTTTGCTTATTCAAGCTGGTGCTACTGTGGTAGTCATACGTAAACTTTGTGAGAACTTGTTAATTTAGACTTGTATTTAAGTTCCTCTTTCACTCTTTCTCTTTCAGAATCATGTGGTCCATGTTTAATATTCAGAGATGCCTACTATAAGAAGTTAAGATTTCAAATAATCATATTTGATGTTTAATCTCATTCCTCATATGGCTCTGTTTTGGAACTCTTCTAACCCTGAAGTTAGTGAACTTTTGACATTGAGATATGATAGAATTTACCGTAGGTCTGGAGTCCTAGTTCTGAAATACATATGATAAGGATTCATAATAAACTTCACAGGAAAATTGGAACCTTAAGTTGTCATGTCTACTGTTTTATTATGTATGGAGTATGTTTATTTTGGTTAAAGCCGACAATTATGGAACCCTACCACCAAAATGTACCATCTGGCAATAAGCACACCATCGTCAGTCTATGAAGCTTACCAGATTGGTGTTTAGGACTTTTGGTCCTATTTCATTTCATTTGAAATATCAAATACATCTGCATGGTTGGGCACATGTATAACTAGATAGATGGATAGATAAACAGACAAGCAGTTATGCATGTGTATTGATGTTAGTGCTATAACTTTTTGACTATCGTACTTGGGCAGGTGTTTTAGATAGTGCAGATGCTCAAATTAGTGTTCTTGAAAATTTAGAGGCTGCAAGTAGTGATGATGAATCAAATGTGAATTTCAAGAGAGCTTCCAATGACGGTGGCAAGAAGAGAAGGGTAGTACTTGATGATTCAGATGAAGAGGATTTTGAAACTGCTGTTAATCTGGGGTCGCCTGATGTTCAAAGTACAAAATCATCTCAAGACTCGAAGCAAAAGAGTAGAACATCAGACAAAGAGAAAAGCGTATTGAATTTTGACAAGCAGGATGATTGCAAACCAGTAGTTAAGGAAGAGAAAGAAGTAGATGGTGCTGGCCATTATGCTAAAGAAGAATTTTCAGCTCTTTACATGGGCAAGAATGTAAGGAATGCCAATTCTGAAAAAGTCCATGGTAAGACCCCTGACATTGATATGAGTAGTAAGAATAAAGCACCAGAGGCTGCTTCATCCTCGCCTAAAAGAAGAAAAGTATTGAAGACACACATTGATGAACGTGGGAGAGAAGGTACTGCGTTTCTACTGTATTATTGTGTCTTGTTAATGGTTTCTTGGCATTTTACTTTATGGATTTCCCTTTTTCTAGTTTACTGTGTTGTTTGCTGTGGACTTTGTTTGCTTGTATTGGTTTAGATTTGATGGGTATTTCTCATTGCTTTAATGTTTTGATTTTACTTACGGAGCAAATCCAGGATTTATATGTGAGAAATAGGGTTCGTGTGGTTCTAACTTTCAAAATTTGTCCATCATTCTCTCTGGCTGTGGAATTGATTATTTGGCCTTGGTTTTGTTGTTAGTCACTGAGGTGGTATGGGAAGGTGAAGAGGTAGGCACGAAAGAGACAACTGCAAGTAAGAATAACACTGACAGTGTGAAAAATTCTAATGGTCACAATGGGAAGGCTGAAGAGAACGGTTCTGCTAACCCTGTGAACAGGTTATTAACATATTTACAATTTACGACATTAGAATCATTGCCTTGTTACTAGCTCGCTTACATTAACATTTATATTGTTTTGGTTCAGGGCTAATACTACAAAGAAGTCTCCAGCGGTTGGAAGCACAGCGCCTTCCCATACAATGGGAAAAGCTGGCGGTAAGAAAGGAGCAAATGCAAAGGATCCAAAGCAAGGCAATATATTATCATTCTTCAAGAGAAAATGACTTATAGTGTAAAATGATATTGATGTTTGCCATTAGATTTAGTAATGTAGTTATATTTTGCTGTAATTTTAAGAGTCGAGAGCATTGATCACCTAATCCATTTTAGTTTATCCTGCCATTTTATGGTCATGCCTCTGTTATTTTGTTATTAAAGGGTTGCCTACTTGCCTTCATTTGATCTTTCAAAGTCATGTCATGTTGTGAAAGCTCTGTAATACTATAACAAAGGTCCAAATGTACTTGTTACATGTTTTTTATTTTTTATTTTTTATTTTTTATAAGCAACACTTTCATATATGATCAATACCCCAAATTCCATTTGTTTGCTTAAGAATTTTGTAAATTTAAAAATTCAAATTTTGAACTCTTGGGGTTTAGAAATTCAAGGGGAGGTAGGATACTCTTATGCCAGTCCGTTTTAGGTATCAAAATAAAAGAACACTCCATACATAAGGTATTAAGTATAAGGTCCAAAGGTATTAAGTATAAGGTCCAAATCTATTCAAAAAAAAAAAGTATAAGGTCCAAATTGATATTGCCATAATTTTATTCTTAATTTCAACCTCATATCTTTTATTAAATCTGTCCTCATTAACTATCAATAACTATCTACATGATGTCCATGAGACTCTTTGCTTTCTAAAATGTACCCTAGAAAAATCCAAGATTGTTTTTGAACCTGTATCGCAATTTTAGGGTCACACTCTACCTTTCATTAACCAATACAATCACTAAAATAGTTAAATACAAAGTACTCCCTCTGTTTTTCTTTAATGGCTTCCTTTTACAGTTGTTTATATTAAGTGTGTCATTTTGTTTAATGACATCTCAACGTATCCTTTTTTTAAAAAAAATTATATTTTTTGTCTTATGGTCTTCACACCCACTTTTTTTAAAAAAAAAAAAATTATTATTATTATTTCCCTCGTCCTAAAAAAAATAATAATACCCCACTATCCCTATTTCAATAATTTTTTAATTTCCCACCAATTTCACTTACACAATATTTTATTTAGTAACTTTCTCCATAGAATTATGTGTCAGTTTAATCGCTTGATTTAGAAAAAAAACGGAGTGATTATAAGAAATGTTATGAGTAATGTTCAATGGTGAGTGGGAAAAATTCTCCTAGTAGAAAGAAATTGATGGCTTGGAGCCTTCAGCCTCGGATGTGTTTATTAACTTGTGTGTGCTACATGTGATTGAAATGTTTGGGCCTATAGTATTGGGATTGATCATAGCTATGCTAGTGGTTTGGTTAGTAGTATACTTCCTCTGTTTTTTTAGTTGACACATTTTTTTAGGAAAAATTGAGTTTATAAATCTCAACTTTGGGCGGTTTACTATGAAAAATCTCAACTATGCATTATCCCTCAACAATCCCAACTTTGATACCCATCTTCTTTTAAAGATCCCAGATGACCGGTTACTTGAAGAGAAGGTTAACTCATTTTTCTAAAAAAAATAAAATTGCCCCTTGTCAGAATTTTAGTGGTCCAAAAAATTAAATTAATTGTTTTTTTTTTAAAAAAAAAATCTGATTTATTCAAAATAAAATAAAAAAAGTTAAAATAAACAACCCAGCCCCCACCCCCACCCCCATCCCGGAAAGCACCTCACCCCCACCCCACCCCGCCGAAAATCGCTCCCCATCCCCGAAAACTCCTCCCCCGCCGCCGGAAAACGGCGCCCACCCTTCCCCCACCTACCATAATACCTCCCTGTCGCTAGAATTCGGCGAAAAACCCTCCCACCCTAAACCGTAAAACCCCCTCCCAAAACCCCCACCCTCGAAATCGCCCCCCTCCCTTCCCCCACTCATAAAATCGACCCACGGTTGGTGTAGGGAATAATTTCAAGCCTTTAAAATCCCACTAGCTCGAACCCCACTGTGATCATACACTAAAGTACGGTGGCGTCCAAAAGGGAAGAAGATAGAGCAAAAGAGTCGCCAACAAGTTTTTAAGGAACTTGTAAACCGTTCACGAGGTGAAGGTTACACCCCTTAACGATCCAAGAGATCGTCATCTCCATAAGGTCATGAACCAAATAAGGGTTCGGGGATGAAGGTACAAATCCAACCTAAAAGAGATTGAACCTGCCCTAATAATAGGCCTCTACTTTATTCTGCTCGTATTCATGTGCGCTTTCTGACTAACATACAATCAATAGGATTAACCCTAAACCTGTTTAATCTATGTTGGTTGAATTTAATGCACAAATAAATCTATTATTGGCGATCACTTGAATTATAATCACAATTAACCTAACAAGATTATTAATTATCTTATTAAGCGTGGTTACAAGTACCAAATTCCCTTTAAACATGCAATAAAAGGTGATCAAGCAATAAATAATAAGCATAATATGTATCAAGCAACATAATAATGAATAATAATAATCATCATCATTAATAATAATTTTAACAATCATAATCATAATCATGTTAACGCATAGCAAGATCCTAGGCATGATACTAACAAGATTAATAACAAACCCTAGCATGTCACTAAACAATAAAAATCAAATCTTTAGCCCTAACATGATACTAACAATCATAAATATTAGGAAGAATATAGGAAACATCGTACTTTTAATCATACTTAATATTAAAGTTACCCTAGACATGATACTAGGAATCAAAATAACAATCTAAGCATGATATCTACATCATAATATCAATTAATCAATTAAAGCACTTACTTGGATGCCTCGTACCTCTTTCTAATGACAAAATACACACGTTAGTAACTTCAAGGAAAATAATAATCAAAACAATTAAATTAAATAATTGAAAGAGAGATTTGGGACCAAACCTTCAGAAATTAAAACCTTTCACGTCTAGGGCGAAGGCAACTTCGAATATGGCTAGGTGTTTCTAGATCTTGTGAATGCGGAATTTTGTATTTGAGAAAAGGCTAGTTTAGAAAAAGAGAGAGAGAGAATAATCAAGAAAATCTTGATGAGAGTTGGTTAAAACTTAAGAATCAAGAGAATTGGTGAATGATAGATGTAGATGATGAATGATGACGGAGTTTTTAATACGATATTTATAGAGAAAATCAGCCAAAAAAGATAATTTAACAAAATAGAGTCTGAAGATCGCAGAAACACATTGGCGCCAGCCCTGGCTCATTGGCGCCAGGACCAGTGGCTAGCGCCAGGCGCCAATGGCTGGCGTCTGGCGCCAATCCCGATTCCAAGCGCCAAGGCCAGGGGTTGGACGCCAAATCGGCTTTCAACGCGTTTTCGAAAATCTGATAAACTTACCGTACTGGAAGATAAAATAATATAATTTCAGTCGAAAATGCTATTTGATCTTGATTAAAACTCTGAAGAGTCCTAATCGAATTAGGAATGATGAGAACCTTCTAGAATGTTCTAGAAGACTAAAACCATTCCTAATTGCATTAGGAATGATAAATCATATTAGGCCCTCCCCTAGATCATTGGGCCGTACATAAAGCTCAAACCGGACCCAGTTTAGTAAATTGGCCATAATTTCCTCAATATTCATCGGAATTGGGCTTATAATATATCGTTGGAAAGGTCTTTGCAAGCCCCATCCAACTACACCATTATTGGACCCATGTCATGGACCAACCAACTGGATTGGCTGTTTTCTTAAAATAAAGTTTTCAAAATCAGGGAGAAGAGAAAAGAAATAAAGCTTTCCGCAACACTAGACCTTTCCACACTTTCGTTTCATTCGATTATGATTCAACGTGAAAGGTAATCATCACTGAGTTTGGTTTTGGGGAGACACAAATGGGTGTCTACAGTTGGGGAAGGGGAAGGGGGCGTTTTCGATGATGGGGGTTAGGGGAAGGGTGTTTTCCGGGTTAGGGGGGTTAGTGGTGAAGGAGTTATGTCTTCGATAAGTGCAATTACTAGATATATCAAGCATCACTATTATGGAGATAATAAGTTCATTCTATAGGGTCGTCAATGTTTGGTGCTAGATATGACAATTGATCTTTGGGCTAGCTTAATAGCCCAAAGCCTTATAGAATGGATCCTACAAGGTCACACATAAGAGCATTGGGTTAAACAAGTTAGAGGCCCATTATTGGCCTCGTGAGTTTATGACATACCACATTGATAATTGGGCTTGGATAATTAGAATAGTGTAATGGGTTTTGGACTTGACATGGTTTTATTTCTAGATATGATCTATAAATATAAACCATGCCTAGGGTTGCATGTAACAACAATTGACATACAGTGAATTGTCACACAAGCAACCAGTTTTCCTAAAAACCCTAACTTTCTCTCTCTACTCGGCCCTCTCTCTCTCCTCCCTATCCGTACGGCCCTCCTCACCGGGTGGCGCGTGTGGTGGCGCGTGGGTGGTGTTGTGGTGTGTTCGTGGCTCAAATCTCCGTTGAAGGTTGATTGAAGTGTTCAGTCACAACTAACTAGCATTAGTGGAGGTTTAATCCATGCTCGTGGACTAAGTAGAGGAATCACGCTTGGGGTTCTTTATCTCCCATTGTTCTTGCTCGATCGCACGTGGAATCACGCTTCAAAGGTACGATTATATGTTCTTTATGTGTTATGCATTAGATCTTGGGATTAGGTACTGTATGAATATGATTCATGTTTTTCCGCTGCGTAGTACCTATAATTCCCTATAGTGGTATCAGTTAACCTATTGCATTTAGGCATATTGACTATAATTCTTTGATAGTCCACAATTTTAATTCAATTAGAAGGGAGAATAATTTAATTATGGGTCAATTATTATATTAAATGTCATTTAACTCTCGGAAGTGATTAAATGTGATTTAATAATGCTCAAAATAGCCATGAAGAGATCCGAAATTTGCCCTAGATCACTTGAAAATTTCGAAACCCCACCCTATTTTTTCGAAAATTTCGAAACCCTAAACCCTAAATTGTAAAATTTGTGTTTTGGTTTTGATTTAATTTGATAGTTATGAGTTTAAAGAATTTATCTATTTTATTTCATGCTAAATTATGAATTTTCATGATCAAATTATTTAATTTAAGTGTTAAATTAAATTGGGGATTAATTTCATGAAGAACACTTAATTTCAAGATTGAATGTGATTTAATTTTGAAATTAATTGGACCACATTAACATTAATTTAATTTTACAAAATATGTTTTGTTTTATTTAAATTAAAAAATAAAAAAATAAAAAAGGTTTTTAGCAGCGGAAACCACGGCTGGGTGGCGTAGCCACGGCGGCTGCCACTGCAGGTGGTCCGGAGGGAGGGGCGGGGCAGGGCAGCAGGTCGGGTCAGGGGTGCAGCAACAGCAGCACCGTGCAATAGTTGCACGACACTATTGCTGCTTATGTGCACC